TGTGAAGAAAGCCTGACTCAGCTGTGAGTGTGAACGAGCCCTCTGTGTGAAGAAAGCTGACTCAGCAGCTATGAGAGTGAACGAGCCCTCTGTGTGAAGAAAGCCTGACTCAGCTATGAGAGTGAACGAGCCCTCTGTGTGAAGAAAGCTGACTCAGCAGCTGTGAGTGTGAACGAGCCCTCTGTGTGAAGAAAGCTGACTCAGCAGCTGTGAGTGTGAACGAGCCCTCTGTGTGAAGAAAGCTGACTCAGCAGCTGTGAGTGTGAACGAGCCCTCTGTGTGAAGAAAGCCTGACAGCTCCTGTGAGTGTGAACGAGCCCTCTGTGTGAAGAAAGCTGACTCAGAGTTGTGAGTGTGAACGAGCCCTCTGTGTGAAGAAAGCCTGACAGCTCCTGTGAGTGTGAGGTCACGTGACAGACCCTGCAGGTGCCATGGGTTGTACTGCTGTGCCAGGCTAGGTGCATGAGGAGGAGGTCACGTGACAGACCCAGCAGGTGCCATGGGTTGTACTGCTGTGCCAGGCTAGGTGCATGAGGAGGAGGTCACGTGACAGACCCAGCAGGTGTGTGTCTGTGTGCCTCTGTGGGTGTCTGTGTGTGTCTCTGTGAGTCTTTATGGGTGTCTGTGGGTCTCTGTGAGTCTCTATGGGTGTATGTGTGTCTCTGTGAGTCTCTATGGGTGTCTGTGGGTCTTTGTGGGTCTCTATGGGTCTCTGTGTGTCTCTGTGGGTCTCTGTGTGTCTCTGTGTGTCTCTGTGAGTCTCTAGGTGTCTGTGTGTGTCTGTGTGTCTCTATGGGTGTATGTGTGTCTCTGTGAGTCTCTATGGGTATCTGTGGGTCTCTGTGAGTCTCTATGGGTGTATGTGTGTCTCTGTGAGTCTCTATGGGTGTCTGTGGGTCTTTGTGGGTCTCTATGGGTCTCTGTGTGTCTCTGTGGGTCTCTGTGTGTCTCTGTGGGTCTCTATGGGTCTCTGTGTGTCTCTGTGGGTCTCTATGGGTCTCTGTGTCTCTGTGGGTCTCTGTGTGTCTCTGTGGGTCTCTATGGGTCTCTGTGTCTCTGTGGGTCTCTATGGGTCTCTGTGTGTCTCTGTGGGTCTCTGTGTGTCTCTGTGGGTCTCTATGGGTCTCTGTGTGTCTCTGTGTGTCTCTGTGGGTCTCTGTGGGTCTCTATGGGTCTCTGTGAGTCTCTGTGTGTCTCTGTGAGTCTCTATAGGTGTATGTGTGTGTCTGTGTGTCTCTATGGGTGTATGTGTGTCTTTGTGAGTCTCTATGGGTGTCTGTGGGTCTCTGTGAGTCTCTATGGGTGTATGTGTGTCTCTGTGAGTCTCTATGCGTGTCTGTGGGTCTTTGTGGGTCTCTATGGGTCTGTGTGTCTCTGTGGGTCTCTGTGTGTCTCTGTGGGTCTTTATGGGTCTCTGTGTGTCTCTGTGGGTCTCTATGGGTCTCTGTGTGTCTCTGTGGGTCTCTGTGTGTCTCTGTGGGTCTTTATGGGTCTCTGTGTGTCTCTGTGTGTCTCTGTGGGTCTCTGTGTGTCTCTGTGTGTCTCTGTGGGTCTCTGTGTGTCTCTGTGGGTCTCTGTGGGTCTCTGTGTGTCTCTGTGTGTCTCTGTGTGTCTCTGTGGGTCTCTGTGTGTCTCTGTGTGTCTCTGTGGGTCTTTATGGGTCTCTATGGGTCTCTGTGTGTCTCTGTGGGTCTCTATGGGTCTCTTTGGGTGTCTGTGTGTGTACACCTATGTTTACCACGCTGTGTGTGAACACCTGTTTACCAAATTGGCTCAACGTTGCATGTGTACAGGGTTTGAATAAAAATGTTGTTTTCTCGATGGAATAATTTCTGCCCCTTTATATTTTTCAACGCTTTCACTTCACGTGATATTCCTCTGTAGTGTCGTGGCCAATATCTTGTAATAAAATGTTTAGTCTACTTCCTGGTGTCTAATCAATTAAACATTTTGCACACTGTGTTAAAATTGGCGTGTTAATTGTTGTGCAAGGTGAAAACGCCGCGGTCCCTAAACTCTGGAATCGCCTCGCGCACGAAGCAGGCGCCACTGACGCGGGAACTTGTCAACACGCGGTGAGCGTGGAGCTCAAGTGTCGAAAGTAAAAGTTTTATTATTCAACTTCATTCCTCTCCTCTCTTGTGTGTCGTGCTCAAGGCTCGTGGTCGAAACGTCGTCCACTTCCACCTTTCAATAAAAAATGTAAAAAAAATAATAATAATATGTATTAAAAAAAAATTGTATTAAAAAAATTTAATTTTAATTTTTTTTTACAATTTTTTAAAGGAGTTTATTTGAGTGGGTTTACCTATACAGTGCATGGGTCTCCTTGCATATCTAAACTATATTTATTGGTTCGACAACAACGAGAACACACGAGCTGACGCGAGGTCTGGCCTTGCGTAGTGAAGTGTTGCTGCGAGTTGTTGTTAAATTGCCTACAAATTAGATTTAATGGATATTATTATTATTCCGTACAAACTTTGCTTTTGTGAGCAGGGCTTTACGTGAAGGGATGAGACAAATGCACGCCGCGTCTTTTTTTTATTTAAAATTGTTAAATGTATAAATATCAATGTCCTGGGTCACAGAAGCAAAGTTTTTGGGGAGAATTTATTTAATTTTTATTTATTTTAAATTTATTTTAGTATTTATTTCTACCTACGTGATTTTAACCTCAGAGTATGAATCCTTATAGTCACGAAAGCTTCAAATCTAGAATTTGTGGAGCTTAATATCCCACTTTCTCTACTAGTGAGTCACTAGCTATTAGGCAGTAACACTCTCCCACTCAGGGTCAATGTTATTGTCACACTGTTGTTAATGGAGTGGATTGTTCACTCTGCTTGTGTGTGCTGGGTCACAAATACAAAGTTTGTGTGGAGTATTAAGAGCCCCTTTCTCTACTTGTGAGGCACTAGCTATTAGGCAGTAACACTCTACCACTAAGGGTCAATGTTGTTGTCACACTGTTGTTAGTGGAGTGGGTTATTAGGTAATGACACTTTACTACCCAGGGACAACAATAAAACATGTTTTCGTCACTGAATTATCTCCACAGATGTTCTGCTCTTGGTTGTGGCGCGGGGCCTTTGGGGCCGTCCATAAATGACGTCACGTACCTGGGGGGTGGGGGGGGTCAGACATTTGTGACGATGGGGGTTGGGGTTGAGAAATGTGACGTGACATCAAAATGCGTAAATTTGAATTTAGAATTGTTTTATTTAAAGCTTTCGTGACTGCAGGGATTCATCTGGTTATAAGGTCGGTCGGCTACAGACATCAGCAGTTGGAGTTCATCACGACCACGGTGGTGAGATGTTGACTCCCTCGCCCGGTACACAAGCACTCGTGGGTTCGATCCCTCGTACCAGGCGAGGAAGTTAACATCTCCCAGCCACCGTGATGATGACGATGAGTGAGATGTTGACTCCCTCGCCCGGTACACAAGCGCTCGTGGGTTCGATCCCTCGTACCAGGCGAGGAAGTTAACATCTCCCAGCCACCGTGATGATGACGACGATGATGAGTGAGACATGACAACTCACAATATACAGCAGCAGCAGCAGCAGCGGGCATCGTCGGGATGGAACCCACGACCTCTTGCGTACCGTGCGAGGTGTGTTGACATCGTCACCCCCGCTCCGCTTCTCTCTGCACAGAGTCGCTGGCCAGTGAGAACTCCGATGGGTTCCGTCTCCCCGCCGCTGCTGCTGCTGCTGCTGGGACTCTGCGCCTTCGCACAGCTGGGGGCAGTCGCCAGCGCCGCCTGGTGGTAAGCGCCGCTCTCTTCCTCGTCAATCCTCCGCTGCTGCGATGAGCGCGACACGTTTCTGAGTTTATTTATTTATGAGCAACCTTACCTAACGTCTTGCACACACACGCCCCCCGTACACCTGGTAGCGGGCAGGGCTTTCGTGACCAATATCATCCACAAGAGTTTTTTTGCGGGGGGGGTTAGATCGCGTAAATGTATAAATGTTGTCATTAAAAATGTATCTAGCCACCACGATGATGAGAGAGAGACGCAAACTCCAAATATACAGCAGCAGCAGCAGGCGGCAGGGTTGGGATCGAACCCACGACCTCCTGCGTACCAGGCGAGGTAGTCAACATCTCGTAGCCACCGTGATGATGATGAGAGAGAGAGACACACAAACTCCAAATATACAGCAGCAGGCGTCAGGGTTGGGATCGAACCCACGACCTCCTGTACACCAGGCGAGGTAGTCAACATCCCCTAGCCACCGTGATGATGAGAGAGAGAGAGACGCGCAAACTCCAAATATACAGCAGCCGGCATCAGGGTTTGGATAGAACCCACGACCTCCTGCGTACCAGGCGAGGTAGTTAACATCTCCTAGCCACCGTGATGATGAGAGAGACACACAAACTCCAAATATACAGCAGCAGGCGTCAGGGTTTAGATCGAACCCACGACCTCCTGCGTACCAGGCGAGGTAGTCAACATCCCCTAGCCACCGTGATGATGAGAGAGAAAGACACACAGACTCCAAATATACAGCAGGTATCAGGGTCTGGATAGAACCCACGACTTCCTGCGTACCAGACAAGAGAGTTAACATCCCCTAGCCACCGTGACGATGATGAGAGAGAGACACACAGACTCCAAATATACAGCAGCAGCAGCAGGCATCGTCAGGGTTTGGATCGAACCCACGACCTCCTGCGTACCAGGCGAGGTAGTCAACATCTCCTAGCCACCGTGACCCCCCCCACCTCCCACCCCTCCTCTGCAGGTCGCTGGCAATGTGGGTCCCCCCGGCAGTGGACCCCTCGCAGCGTCCGCTGCTGCTGTGCAGCGTGGCCCCGGGGCTGTCCCCCGCACAGCGCCACGTCTGCCGGCAGCAGCCGCACTTCATGAAGCTCGTGGTGGACGGCGCGCGACTGGCGATCGCCGAGTATCGGCACCAGTTCCAGGCGAAGCGCAAGCGCAAGGCGCCGTGCACGGAGGACGGGCTGGTCCCTTTGGCTCGGGCAGGTAAGGAAACCTTGCCGTAGATCGTCGCCCGGGTGAGAGTGCACGGAGGACGGGCTGGTCCCTTTGGCTCGGTCGGGTAAGGAGATCGTCGCCCGGGTGAGAGTGCACGGAGGACGGGCTGGTCCCTTTGGCTCGGTCGGGTAAGGAGATCGTCGCCCGGGTGAGAGGCGGCTTCGAGCCTCTGCCGGTGACGGGCGGGTTTGAGTGACGGGCGCTTGGCGCCGTAGCGAGCCGTTCTACGTCACTAGAGTAGCGTGGCAGTGTGCGGTGTGTAGTGTACTACACACTACAGTAGTGTAGTATTGTGCGGTGCGCAGTGTACTACACACTGTGTACTGCACACTACTATACTGCTGTAGTGTGTAGTACACAGTGTGTACTACACACTACAGTAGCGTAGTAGTGTGTAGTACACACTGTGTACTGCACACTACTATACTGCTGTAGTGTGTAGTACATAGTGTGTACTACACTATGTACCACACACTAGAGTAGCGTAGTAGTGTGCGGTGCGTAGTGTACTATACACTGTGTACTGCACACTACTATACTGCTGTAGTGTGTAGTACACAGTGTGTACTACTACACTATGTACCACACACTACAGTGGTGTAGTAGTGTGCGGTGCGTAGTGTACTGCACACTACAGTAGTGTAGCAGTGTGCGGTGCGTAGTGTACTACACACTACAGTAGTGTAGCAGTGTGCGGTGCGTAGTGTACTACACACTACAGTAGTGTATCAGTGTGCGGTGCGTAGTGTAATGTATCCTGAAAGCACGCAACGGGGTGACCGCGTCTGTTTGACGGTGACCCCTTCAAGTCGGGGTTGGTCACCCTGCCCAAGTGTGGCCCAGGCAGTCCCCAGGTATGAAGCCGTGTCTTGTGTCTCACAAGGTGCTTGCTCATCATCAAGGTTTTGTGTTAGATCGCATCAACGTGAATGCTGCGGTGTCTACCCGCCACCATCCGACACGGCCAATTCAGTTTGGTTTAGAGTGTCGCTTAAATAGAATGTGGCCAATTTTGGCTATCGCCCGTGACGGCGGTTGTCCCCTCGGCGAAAGATCGCGATACCCGCGTTGTAAATGTGGCGGAGAATTTACTTTCCAACACACGGCAACAGGTCAGTGCTGTACCAGGGTAACGAGCGCGTTAGGCTTAGGGTTAGTATTCTTAGGTTTTTTTCGGTAAAGTCACCGTGTAGGTAAAACATTAAAATTAATAAAAGTAAAATAAAATAAACATCACGACGTTTCGGAGGCAACACAAGTCTCCGTCATCAGGTGGGACCGTCACAGCCAGATTTGCTGCATCAAGTGAGGCAAAGATTCAAGATTGCCTCACTTGATGCAGCAAATCTGGCTGTGACGGTCCCACCTGATGACGGAGACTTGTGTTGCCTCCGAAACGTCGTGATTTTTATTTTACTTTTACTAATTTTAATGTTTTACCTACACAGTGACTTTACCGAAAAAAACTAAGAATATGAATCCTTGCAGTCACGAAAGCTTCAAATCTAGGTTTGGGTTAGGTTCAGGTGGAACCGTCACAGCACGACAGCTGTATCAAGTGAGGGAAATTCCAAGAAAACAGTCCTTGTATATATATACTGGTTGAGGGTGGGAGGAGCTAAGGGTAGGCCCTGAATATTATTGTTGTGGGGTTCGGTGCGGCTGAAGCACGCTGTTAGGAATGAGCCTTTGTTGTGTAAACTAAGGTGCGGATGATTTTAAAGGTGCGTCTAAATGGGACTGAGCCTTTTGTTATGTAGAAGTGGTGCGGCTGAAATCGTTGCCAAAAATGAGTCTTTGTTGTGTAGAATGGTTGAACTGGGAGGTTCCAAGAGTTGTTAAGGTGCGGCTGATGTAAAGGTGCGGCTGCTGTGAATGGGACTGAGCCTTTTGTTATGTAGAGGTGGTGCGGCTGAAATCGTTGCTAGGAATGAGTCTTTGTTGTGTAGACTGGTTGAACCGGGAGGTTTCAAGAGTTGTTAAGGTGCGGCTGATGTAAAGATGCGTGTAAATGGGACTGCGCCTTTTGTTATGTAGAGGTGGTGCGGCTGAAATCGTTGCTAAGAATGAGTCTTTGTTGTGTAGACTGGTTGAACTGGGAGGTTCCAAGAGTTGTTGAGGTGACGTTTCTATTTCGGCGATCTACGCCAGAAAAACAAACAACCTCCATTATAGACAAATGATCAAATTGTTTTGTGGGTGGGGGGGGGTGGGGGGGCCCAGGCTCTCGCGAGGCCGCCTTCTTCTCCGCCCTCACCGCCGCCGGCGTGGTGCACGCCGTGGCGCGCGCCTGCAACACGTCAGAGGTGATCCGGCAAAACTGCACGTGGACCTACCAACCCTGGTTGCTTCCCGGAGACAACGTCAAATACGGACGCCATTTTCGCCAAGTTGTTCTTGGACGCGGGCGTCAAAGACCGCTGGAGGCAAGGAGGGCGACGCAAGTCTTTGTCGAAGTTCCTCCTGATGGAACTGCACAACAACGAAGCGGGCCGGCGGGTGAGCGAGCGGGCGGTAGGGATTGTCGTGAGGAATGTTTTTTTTATGGGAAAATTAACTCACAGCGGCCTAAAGCCTACAGCTAGGCCTAAAGCCTAGAACTAGGCCTCAAACTCTCCCTTCGTATCGTACCCCCGCGTGTGTGAAAGGGAGTTAATGTTTCACAATGTTACATTCCCTGATGTTTTTAAATAGAAACATTTACATTTAAAGCTTTTACATTAACAATTAAAACATTTAAATTTAAAATTAACTCACAGCGGCCTAAAGCCTACAGCTAGGCCTAAAGCCTAGAAGTAGGCCTCAAACTCTCCCTTCGTATCGTCCGATTAGGTGTAGCAACATCGCCCCCTACTGCAAACACTTGGCAGGACCCTACAAAAACCTTTAGACTCAGTGGGGCTTTCCTGGCTAAACAAGTGTAATAATACATTATGTTTATATTTTTTGGTTACTCGTTCCTACCAGCCCACCCCGCAGGGTCCTGTTACGGGAAAAAGTATCGTTTTGTAATAACACGCTGGAGACGGCTTGTGGAATCGGTCCTTTTATTTCACTTCTTGCAGCTCACAAACACTCCCCGTTGCTGGCAGGCAACGGGAAGCGGGCAGACAGACACCAGAGACCCACCGCCACGTGGCACCTGGAGCCCCACTCGCGCGTGGCCCCTCTCTCTCCCTCTCTTAGTTCCGTGTCTGACCCCGTGTCTCTCCCCTTATTTAACGCCTGGGTCACGTGGTACCCTCCAGCCAATCCTCAACAGCCTGCGCCGAATGTTCCAGATCCCCCCCATCAACTCCCGGGACCAGGCCCCTGACTTGTCTTCCCATTGGCTGAGGCCAAGACCAGCAGAACCAATCACCGAGATTCCCCATCAACTCCCGGGACCACGTCCCTGACTTGTCTTCCCATTGGCTGAGGCCAAGACCAGCAGAACCAATCACCGAGATTCCCCATCAACTACCGGGACCAGGCCCCGACTTGTCTTCCCATTGGCTGAGGCCAAGACCAGCAGAACCAATCACCTGGCTGACATCCCGTGATCACGCCGGGGCCATGCTCCCAGGCTCTCCCCCCATTGGCTGTAGAGCGGGACCGGCAAAGCCGATCGCCACGTGAATCCGACGTAGGCTCTCATTACATCACCCCCTTTGTGAAATGCTGCACATGTATATAGTTGGGCTTAGTTGTCTAGGGGTTGTATTTCAGACGCTGTCGCCTCGACAGACCCGGTTTCACCTGAGGACGGCTGCTTGCGTTGTGGCCGAAACGTCGTGAGAATTATTTTATTGTGTTTTATTTGTATTATTTTATTACTTCCATTCTTCGTAACTTTACCGACAGACCTGTTCTCCACCTGAGGACGGCTGCTTGCGTTGTGGCCGAAACGTCGTGAGAATTATTTTATTGTGTTTTATTTGTATTATTTTATTACTTCCCTTCTACGTGACGACTTTACCGAAATAACCAAGAAGATGAATCCCTGCAGTCACGAAAGCTTTACATCGAAATTTAGGGGTTGTATTGTTCAACAGTTCTGCTGCTGCATCTTGCCACCTGCCCGGGTTGCGGTCAAGGGATGGCTCCGTATTGCTCAACCACGTTTATGCTGCTGGCTGAAACTGGAGCGTGCCACTGAGAGGGTGGGGCCTTGCCTCCCCCTTACAGCCCCACCAAAACTAAGCACCCGCCTGGGTATTTTGTACCATCGGACACTCCACAACTCTCAATTGGTGATGGGGCAGTTGTGGAGAGTTTCCCGTAGCTGGGCAGTGTGCCTATGACCAGCTCTGTGGCAGAAGAGTTCTCAATCAATCGAGTGGCATTATCTTTGCATCGACTGCACCATGCTTTGCGGAAGCTACCTGGTCTGTTGCTCCACACAAAGCTTCGGGTCTTCTTGGCCATGGTCATGCCCTCTACGCTTGCAAAACATGGACCCCCCCCCCCACACCCCCTATCTGCTTAGAAATATTTCAGGCTGGCCTGCCTCCAATCCATTCTGAGTTTAACCAACAGGCTGGATTGTGTGAGGAGCTCACAAATCCTTGAAAGATCTTGACAAAGTCCCATTGAGCTCCTCCGGCAGGCAAGGCTGCGTTGGCTGGGCCATGTAGCCCACATGCCCAGCCACTGCATGCCTATAACCGCTTTGGTTTGGCCGGATAGAGGGTGATAATTTATTTATTTTACCCTTTTATCTGGCAACAAAACTGACACCTTTTTTACAAGGAGTCATGTTTGCATGGACCACAATACCTGCGGTCGGAATGCAAACAAAAACCACAACTCTGATAATGTATGCACTGTCCTTGACATTGATTTGTGTCCACACCCAAGACAGCTTTTCTTAGAGCCTAGTCTCACATGGTGTTGGACCAGACGACGCCAAAAGGCGCACAACTCAAAGACAATGCACCATCAGAGTATCAGAGCTCGGGGTAAGCATTTACACCATTGCAACCTCATTTGCCAGTTGCCAGATAAAAGGGTAAAAAAACAATTATATTTTGCTACTGGCAAAGGAGGTTCGAACGGATCAGGGGGTGCTTAAAGGGCGCGGCACGGGCTAGAGAAGAGATGAAGTGATGTGGTACAGGAGGACGTGGAGCTGAGTGGACTTGCCGATGACCGGTACCAGCGGTGTCAAGATCGGCCTCTGTGGAGGAGGCTCGTGAAGGACGCTACTGGGCAGTCGGAGGCAGTCGCCCTCCAACAACAACGGAGGGCGGAGGAGCGACGCTCACAACAACGAGCGGAGCGCCGGGTGGCTAAAGCACAGCAAGTTGGCACAGTAGGGGGCACAGGTGGTGCATCAGCCAGTCATCTCGGTCATCTCGGTCAGTCGACCCGTGGCACCTGCTGGGTCTGCCCCGTGACCTTCTGCCGACGCTTCACGTGCACACAGCCTGGCACAAGCTCCGTCGTGGTGACGTCACCGCCACTTATTGGCGAATGGCGATTGGCAGTGACATGACGATGGTGTTGGTGGTGACAATGATTGTGGTGGTAACAATGACGGTGACGGTGGTGGTGGTGACAATGATTGTGGTGGTAACAATGACGGTGACGGTGGTGGTGGTGGTGGTGGTGTTGGTGGTGGTGACAATGATTGTGGTGGTAACAATGACGGTGGTGGTGGTGGTGACAATGATTGTGGTGGTAACAATGACGGTGGTGACGGTGGTGTTGGTGGTGGTGACAATGATTGTGGTGGTAACAATGACGGTGGTGACGGTGGTGGTGGTGGTGGTGTTCGGGGTGACAATGGTTGTGGTGGTAACAATGACGGTGACGGTGGTGGTGTTGGTGGTGACAATGATTGTGGTGGTAACAATGACGGTGACGGTGGTGTTGGTGGTGACAATGATTGTGGTGGTAACAATGACGGTGGTGACGGTGGTGGTGGTGGTGGTGTTGGTGGTGACAATGATTGTGGTGGTAACAATGACGGTGACGGTGGTGGTGTTGGTGGTGACAATGATTGTGGTGGTAACAATGACGGTGGTGGTGGTGGTGACGGTGGTGGTGGTGGTGGTGGTGACAATGATTGTGGTGGTAACAATGACGGTGGTGGTGGTGGTGGTGACGGTGGTGGTGGTGGTGACAATGATTGTGGGGGTAACAATGACGGTGGTGGTGGTGGTGGTGTTGGTGGTGACAATGATTGTGGTGGTAACAATGATGGTGACGGTGGTGACGGTGGTGGTGGTGGTGACAATGATTGTGGTGGTAACAATGACGGTGACGGTGGTGGTGACGGTGGTGGTGGTGACAATGATTGTGGGGGTAACAATGACGGTGACGGTGGTGGTGGTGGTGACAATGATTGTGGTGGTAACAATGAAGGTGGTGACGGTGGTGGTGTTGGTGGTGGTGGTGGTGACAATGATTGTGGTGGTAACAATGACGGTGGTGACGGTGGTGGTGGTGTTGGTGGTGACAATGATTGTGGTGGTAACAATGACGGTGGTGGTGGTGGTGTTGGTGGTGGTGACAATGACGGTGGTGACGGTGGTGGTGGTGGTGCTACAGGCGGTGGAAGACCTGTCGTACTTCAAATGCGGTTGCGCCGAGAGAACCGGCGAATGTGTCGGCGTCTGCTTGCCGCGGCTCCAAGACTTTCGCAGCGTCGGCGACTTTCTGAAGGTGAGCGCACGGCTGCCGGGGATGAGACACGAAGCGTGGGTGGGTGGGTGAGTGGGTGAGTGAGTGAGTGGGTGAGTGAGTGAGTGAGTGGGTGAGTGAGTGAGTGAGTGGGTGAGTGAGTGGGTGGGTGGGTGGTGAGTGTGTGAGTGGGTGAGTGAGTGGGTGAGTGGGGGTGAGTGAGTGGGTGGGTGAGTGAGTGGGTGGGTGTGTGAGTGGGTGAGTGAGTGGGTGGGTGGGTGGGTGAGTGGGTGGGTGAGTGAGTGAGTGGGTGAGTGAGTGGGTGAGTGGGTGGGTGAGTGGGTGGGTGGGTGGGTGGGTGAGTGAGTGGGTGGGTGAGTGGGTGGGTGAGTGTGTGAGTGGGTGAGTGAGTGGGTGGGTGGGTGGGTGAGTGAGTGGGTGGGTGAGTGAGTGGGTGGGTGGGTGAGTGAGTGGGTGGGTGAGTGAGTGAGTGGGTGAGTGGGTGAGTGGGTGGGTGGGTGAGTGGGTGGGTGAGTGGGTGAGTGAGTGGGTGGGTGAGTGAGTGGGTGGGTGAGTGTGTGAGTGGGTGAGTGAGTGGGTGGGTGGGTGGGTGAGTGAGTGGGTGGGTGAGTGAGTGAGTGAGTGGGTGAGTGGGTGAGTGAGTGGTGAGTGAGTGAGTGGGTGAGTGAGTGAGTGGGTGAGTGAGTGGGTGGGTGGGTGGGTGGGTGAGTGAGTGAGTGAGTGAGTGGGTGAGTGAGTGGGTGAGTGTGTGAGTGGGTGAGTGAGTGGGTGGGTGAGTGAGTGGGTGGGTGAGTGTGTGAGTGGGTGAGTGAGTGGGTGGGTGGGTGAGTGAGTGAGTGGGTGGGTGAGTGAGTGAGTGGGTGAGTGAGTGGGTGAGTGGGTGGGTGGGTGAGTGGGTGGGTGGGTGGGTGAGTGGGTGAGTGAGTGAGTGGGTGAGTGAGTGAGTGGGTGAGTAGGTGGGTGGGTGAGTGGGTGGGTGAGTGAGTGGGTGGGTGAGTGAGTAAGTGAGTGGGTGCGTGAGTGAGTGGGTGGGTGGGTGGGTGAGTGGGTGAGTGAGTGGGTGGGTGGGTGAGTGGGTGGGTGGGTGAGTGTGTGAGTGGGTGAGTGTGTGAGTGGGTGAGTGAGTGGGTGAGTGGGTGGGTGGGTGAGTGTGTGAGTGAGTGGGTGAGTGGTGGTGAGTGAGTGGGTGGGTGGGTGAGTGGGTGGGTGGGTGAGTGTGTGAGTGGGTGAGTGAGTGGGTGGGTGGGTGAGTGAGTGAGTGAGTGGGTGGGTGAGTGAGTGAGTGAGTGGGTGAGTGAGTGAGTGAGTGGGTGGTGGGTGGTGAGTGAGTGAGTGGGTGGGTGAGTGAGTGGGTGAGTGGGTGGGTGAGTGAGTGAGTGGGTGAGTGGGTGAGTGGGTGGGTGAGTGGGTGGGGGAGTGAGTGGGTGAGTGAGTGAGTGGGTGAGTGGGTGGGGTGAGTGAGTGAGTGGGTGGGTGAGTGAGTGGGTGGGTGAGTGAGTGAGTGAGTGGGTGAGTGGGTGGGTGAGTGAGTGGGTGAGTGGGTGAGTGAGTGGGTGAGTGAGTGGGTGAGTGGGTGGGTGAGTGAGTGGGTGAGTGGGTGGGTGGGTGGGTGAGCGACGGGGATTCATCCACAGGAGTATAGTAGTAGGTCTTTACTTGATACGGCTGTTGTGGCTGTGACGGTCCCACCTGAAGACGGAAGCTTGTGTTGCCTCCGAAACGTCGTGATTTTTATTTAATTTTACTTTTATTAATTTTAATGTTTTACCTACCTGGTGACTTTACCGAAAAAACCTAAGAATATGAATCCTTGCAGTCACGAAAGCTTCAAATCTAGAATTAGGTTTTTAACCTTGAAACTGGTACAAAACTGACACCTTTATACAAGGCAAACGTGATGCCTTGTGTAAAGGTGTCAGTTGTTGTACCAGTTTAAAGGGTATTATGTTTTATTTTTATTATTCTATTACTTCCCTTCTACGTGGTGACTTTACCGAAAGAACCAAGAAGATGAATCCCTGCAGCAGTCACGAAAGAAGCTTTAAATCGAAACATAAAAAAACATAAAAAATAAAAACCTACTACTATATTTTGCCACTGCTAAAGGAGACGTCTCAAGGTGTAAATCCACAGCAGGGTTACAAACGGGGGGGGGAAGGGGAGTCCCTAACAGCATTCCACCGCATTCACTCGACCACCACCACTGATGACGATGATGATGACGATGATGATGACGATGATGACGATGATGATGACGATGATGATGACGATGATGATGATGATGACGATGATGATGACGATGATGACGATGATGATGACGATGATGATGACGATGATGATGATGATGACGATGATGATGACGATGATGACGATGATGATGACGATGATGACGATGATGATGATGACGATGACGACGATGATGATGATGACAATGATGATGACGATGACGATGATGATGACGATGATGACGATGATGACGACGATGATGACGACGATGACGATGATGACGATGATGATGACGATGATGATGACGATGATAACGACGACGATAACGACGACGATGACGACGATGATGACGGCGATGATGACGACGATGACGATGATGACGACGACGATGATGACGATGATGACGACGACGACGATGATGATGATGACGATGATGATGACGATGATGACGATGACGATGATGATGATGACGATGATGATGATGACGATGATGATGATGACGATGATGATGATGACGATGACGACGATGATGACGATGATGATGACGACGATGATGACGACGATGACGATGATGACGATGATGACGACGACGACGATGACGATGATGATGATGATGACGATGATGATGATGATGACGACGATGACGATGATGACGATGATGATGATGACGATGATGATGACGATGATAACGACGACGATAACGACGACGATGATGACGATGATGATGACGACGACGATGATGACGATGATGACGACGATGATGACGACGATGACGATGACGACGACGATGATGACGATGATGACGACGACGATGACGATGATGATGACGATGATGATGACGATGATAACGACGACGATAACGACGACGATAACGACGACGATAACGACGACGATGACGACGACGATGACGATGATGATGATGACGACGATGACGATGATGACGACGACGACGATGATGACGATGATGACGACGATGACGACGATGATGACAATGACGACGACGACGATGATGACGATGATGACGACGATGATGACGACGACGACGATGTCAATGATCTCTGCAGGAAAAGTACAACGTAAGTTCCGCCATGCGGCTGGTGAGGAGCAACAGCAGCAGCAGCGACGTCGCGCGCTGGCGCCTGCAGCCGGTGAACGAGTGGCTGCCGGCGCCCGGAGCGAGCGAGCTGGTGCACGTGGAGGCCAGCCCGGAGTACTGCGTCCGCGGCGCTCCCGGCGGAGCTCCGGCGAGGCGGCGCTGCAACGACACCTCCGAGGCAAACGAGCGATGCTCCGACATCAACGCCGCTTGCTGCGACACGGGATACGACATCTCGCAAGGTGCCCCACCACCCCACCCACCAACCCACCCCACCACGCCACCCCACCCGCCACCCCACCCGCCACCCCACCCGCCACCCCACCCGCCACCCCACCCGCCACCCCACCCGCCACCTCACCCGCCACCCCACCCGCCACCCCACCCGCCACCCCACCCGCCACCCCACCCGCCACCCCCACCCGCCACCCCACCCGCCACCCCACCCGCCACCCCACCCGCCACCCCACCCGCCACCCCACCCGCCACCCCACCCGCCACCCCCACCCGCCACCCCCACCCGCCACCCCACCCCGCCACCCCACCCGCCACCCCCACCCGCCACCCCACCCGCCACCCACCCGCCACCCCACCCACCACCTCACCCACCACCCCACCCACCACCCCGAAAATAGACTAAAACTATTCACAATGAGACATCTACTTTAGCTAGTGGCAAAATGTAGTGATGTGTTTTTACCCTTTCAACTGGTACAACAACTGACACCTTTATACAAGGCATCATTACACTATGAGACCTCCTTTAGCAGCGGCAAAATGTAGTGGTGGGTTTTTACCCTTTCAACTGGTACAACAGCTGACACCTTTATACAAGGCATCATACACCTTGAGACATCTACTTTAGCTAGTGGCAAAATATAGTGGTAGGTTTTTACTCTTGCAACTGGTGCAACAGCTGACACCTTTAGACAAGGCACTACTACACTGTACCGTACACCACGCAATTACATGATGCATTTCACAACGTCGGGGAGAAGTGCGCGGAGATGTTGTTCATCTTCGACGTCAACGGCGGTCGCGCAATAGCGCAATAGCGACACAGCAGAGCCCCTCACCGTTCTGGCGAATTGCCCGACGATGCTGGACGCAATTACCAGCAAAATGTCGTAGTGCTACTCAACAATTGTAAAAGTTGTGGCTTCACGCTTCAACAACACACCGGCGTGGGGGCTAAAGCAGCGAACTATTTTGTCTTTTGTCAACGTGACACTTTTTTAACCGATTGGCCGTGTCGGGTGGTGGAGGGTCACGACACATTTAACAGGACCCTGCGTGGTGGGCTGTTAGGAACGAGTAACCAAAGAATATAAACATAATGTATTGTTACACTTGTTTAGCCAGGAAAGCCTCACTGAGTCTTAAAGGTTTTTGTAGGGTCCTGCCAAGTGTTTGCAGTAGGGGGCGATGTTGCTGCACCTAATCGGACGATACGAAGGGAGAGTTTGAGGCCTAGTTCTAGGCTTTAGGCCTAGCTGTAGGCTTTACGCCGCTGTGAGTTAATTTTTTATTTAAATGTTTTAATTAAAACTATCTCAGGGAATTATAAGGGAATGTTACACTTGTTTAGCCAGGAAAGCCTCACTGAGTCTAAAGGTTTTTGTCGGGTCCTGCCAAGTGTTTGCAGTAGGGGGCGATGTTGCTACACGGTCAGACGGACGGACGGACGGACGATATAATCTATTGTAGGCTGGTCCACTTCGTTCCTACCATTATAAACAACGCCATCTAAACCCAACAACGTTGATTGTGAATAATACTGGTCGCGAAAGCCTCCGACGTGTTCAACTGACCTCGTGAGCGCTCTCCCCTCTGCTGTTCCCTCCCCAGTCACGCTGCAGATGCAGTGCGGGTGCAAGGAGCAGCTTAAGCGGAACGTCAAGTGCAAGCTTTGCCCGTGGACCGTCGATCAATTCGTTTGCAAGTAGCCTCGCGACCCGGTCTAGGGGTGGCCTGAGATCGCGACCCGCACGAAGCTGTTAATGGCATCGACATCGAGCGTGTAGCCCTCACTCAGAGCTGCGTGCGTTCTACTTTACACACTTCAATCGCGTGCGAGACACCGCCAGCTACACTTTCATCTTGTTGGTTCTTTCGGTAAAGTCGTCACGTAGAATGGAAGTAATAAAATAATAAAAATAACAAAAAAATTACGTTTCGATTTATAGCTTCTTTCGTGACTGCAGGGATTCATCTTCTTGGTTCTTTCGGTAAAGTCGTCACGTAGAAGGGAAGTAATAAAATAATAAAAATAAAAATAATAAAATAATTCTCACGACGTTTCGGCCACAACGCAAGCAGCCATCCTCAGGTGAAGAACAGGTCTGTCGGGGAGACAGCGTCTGAATGAAACAGCACACGTGCTTGGAGCGTGTATATAAGCTGGGCGCCTTGACAAAGGAATTTGCATATCAAGAGGAATTTAGCATATTTATGGGAAATGCAGGAATGTGATTAGTACTACTTATGCCCGTGCATTATGCAGGATTAGCAGCATCAAAGGGAAGGGATATGGGAAATGCAGGTATGTGATTAGTACTACTTGTGCCCGTGCATTATGCAGGATTAGCAGCATTAAAGGGAGGGGATATGGGAAATGCAGGTATGTGATTAGTACTACTTATGCCCGTGCATTGTGCAGGATTAGCAGCATTAAAGGGAGGGGATATGGGAAATGCAGGTATGTGATTAGTACTACTTATGCCCGTGCATTGTGCAGGATTAGCAGCATTAAAGGGAGGGGATATGGGAAATGCAGGTATGTGATTAGTACTACTTGTGTCTTCATCATCATCCGCCATGCAAATCATGGAAGCAGCGGCAGATGTGGAGGATGCCTGCAAAAGTGGTGCAAATGTGGTCACCCAGAAGAGACAGCGTACAACGGACAACGCCGCACTGCTTCCGGTCCACAAATAGGACGGAGACATCGCGGCAATGATGCACTCCGCTTCGCTTGCCTGGCTTGCCCACCTCATTGTGAAATTGTAGTCATTGTCTCTGCATCTACATCAGCAGTTGTACAAAAGAAGACCTCCTGCGTACCAGGCGAGGTAGTCAACATCTGCTAGCCACCGTGATGATGAGAGAGAGAGACACGCAAACTCCAAATCTACAGCAGCAGGCGTCAGGGTCGGGATGGAACCCACGACCTCCTGCGTACCAGGCGAGGTAGTTAACATCTCCTAGCCACCGTGATGATGATGAGAGAGAGAGACACGCAAACTCAAAATATACAGCAGCAGGCGCTAGGGGTTACCAAAAAGATTTCCAATATATTAAACAAACACAAGATCCAGGTTCGTTTAAACACAGTACACAAAATCCGTGATTTAATCCCATCTGTAAATGATTCCTCCCATGCAGTACCCTGGTGTCTACAAACCGAGTTGTGGTTGTGGCAGCAGTAACATTTGGGAAACGAAACGGCATGTCTCGGACCGCGTTCATGAACACAAGGCGGATCTGAAACACGGTAGGACCAATACATCTGCCGTTGCTGATCATTGTTTTAACGCAGTGGGCTCACGCAAAATTGATTTTTCCAAGACGGAGGTACTCTGCAAACCTACCGGCTACGTTCAGAGATTTGTTCATGAAGCCATTCAGAAATATAAACACAGACACAACTTCAGCCGAGAATATGGGTACAAACTGAGCAATCATTGGAAGGATGTTATTAACCAGGTAAAGTCTTAACTGACTGTGATGTTTCCATCCTACCTGCCTATGTCAGCTGTTATTACCGACTCTGTGTCTCTCTCTCTCTCTATGCCTCTCTCTTAGACCTCTCACATGTCCTTTGGATTGCACTGTCAGTCTCACATGCCCTTTGGAGTGCACTCTCATGGTGCTAATCTCTCAACACAGCTGTTGTGCGCATATGAGGGCATGCTACTCTTTTGCGGCGATGGAAGCTCATTCATGCTAATCTCTCTCTCCCTAATCCCTCTTTCCCTAATCTCCCCCATTAATACAACTGACGTGCTTGCGTCCGGGGGTGGAATCCTTTCCAGCTCAGACCCCGCTTGCTTGCCCATCGCCACATATATAACCTCTTGTTGTAACAGCTCTCTCGCTGGTTCAGCAGTTCCACTGCCGGGTTATATTTTTTTCCGCTTGAGGACGACCGCTTGTGTTGCGATCGAAACATCGTGATTCATTTTATTTTATACCCACGTGACTTTACCGCAAGAACAAAAGAGTAAAAAGATATATCAACAGGCGTCGTCTGGGTCGGGATCGAACCCACAACTTCCTGTGTATCAGGCGAGGTAGTCAACATCTCACAGCCACCGTGATGATGATGAGAGAGAGACACGCAAACTACAAATATACAGCAGCAGGCGTCGTCTGGGTCGGGATCGAACCCACAACTTCCTGTGTATCAGGCGAGGTAGTCAACATCTCACAGCCACCGTGATGATGATGAGAGAGAGACACGCAAACTACAAATATACAGCAGCAGGCGTCGTCTGGGTCGGGATCGAACCCACAACTTCCTGTGTATCAGGCGAGGTAGTCAACATCTCACAGCCACCGTGATGATGATGAGAGAGAGACACGCAAACTACAAATATACAGCAGCAGGCGTCGTCTGGGTCGGGATCGAACCCACAACTTCCTGTGTATCAGGCGAGGTAGTCAACATCTCACAGCCACCGTGATGATGATGAGAGAGAGACACGCAAACTACAAATATACAGCAGCAGGCGTCGTCTGGGTCGGGATCGAACCCACAACTTCCTGTGCATCAGGCGAGGTAGTCAACATCTCACAGCCACCGTGATGATGATGAGAGAGAGACACGCAAACTACAAATATACAGCAGCAGGCGTCGTCTGGGTCGGGATCGAACCCACAACTTCCTGTGCATCAGGCGAGGTAGTCAACATCTCACAGCCACCGTGATGATGATGAGAGAGAGACACGCAAACTACAAATATATATCAGCAGGCGTCGTCTAGGTCGGGATCGAACCCACAACTTCCTGTGTATCAGGCGAGGTAGTCAACATCTCACAGCCACCGTGATGATGATGAGAGAGAGACACGCAAACTACAAATATACAGCAGCAGGCGTCGTCTGGGTCGGGATCGAACCCACAACTTCCTGTGCATCAGGCGAGGTAGTCAACATCTCACAGCCACCGTGGTACTCACAGCCGTCCATCCAGAAGACGATGGGAGGAGGAAAGCCTTGGGGAGGGCGGCAGCGCAGCACGGCCGGCAGGCCCTCGGTGGCCATGACGGGTTCCAGCTGTTCACGGGGCCACAGGGGAGCACCTGCAGGACACAGACAAAACCACCCATGTAGCCTTAGACCTCGATTGGAAGTTTCCGTGACTGCAGGGATCCATACTCTTTGGTTCTTTCGGTAGAGTCACGTCGGTATATAATTAATAAAATCACGACGTTTCGGGCGCAACACACAAACGTCCGTCACCAGGTGGGAAAACCACAGCAAGAAACAATTGCTGAAGTGGGCAAAAGGGTTGCCGTGACAAGAGGCTATATAGGTGTTGAGTAGTTCCGACGGACGTACTCGGAGACGGAGGTAAGTTAGGGGCTTCCGCCAGGGTTTATTAAAGCTGTTACAATACACACGCAGCAGGGTGCACAACTCCCAGGGTTTATTAAACTTATCTATATTACACAGCAGGGTACACAACTCCCAGGGGCTAGGGGGGTCCTACTCTGAGTCTGGGTCCCTGCCGGCGAGCTCCGGTCTCTCTCTCTCGTGTCAGATCAGGGACTCTGCCGACTCCACCGACTGGAGAGAGAAGCACCTCTACGGCTACCACCGGCTTCTCTCCAGGCTCACCATTCGATCCCTCTCTCTACCCCTGGTTCCCTCTTCACTCTGCTTACTCTACCCGTTCCCACAGTGACCCCGCTCACGTCACGGGGTATCTCTTAAGTACCCCGGGAGACGTGATGTCATCGCACTGAACGGCACACCTGACGTCACGTCCCCATTTTACTCCTCTACATAGGTAAGAGACGGGGGAGGAGCCAAGGAGGAGAGACAGGGAGGGGGTGGGGGGTAGGGTGAGTGGAGTGCCGCTAGAGGGATTAAGAAACGAACAAGGAAATGCCGGGGGGGGGGGGGGGGTTAGCGGGGCTGGGAGTGGGAAGCTGAAGAAACTGGAGATGCGGATATGAAGGCAACACCATGAAGCAGTTAAGGTTTGACCTGGTTAATAACATCCTTCCAATGATTGCTCAATTTGTATCCATCTTCCCGGTTGAAGTTATGTCTATGTTTAGATATCTGCATGGCTTCATGAACAAACCTTTGATCGTAGCCCGAAGGTTTTCAGAGTACCTTGGTCTCGGAAAAAACAATATCATGAGAGCTCACAGCGTTATAGCAATGGTCAGCCACGACGGAGGAATTAGTTCTGCCGTGTTTCAGATCTGCCTTGTGCTCGCGAACACGGTCCGACACATGCCGTTTCGTTTCCCCAATGCAACAGCCACCACAGGTGCAACTTAGTTTGTAGACTCCAGGATACTGCATGTCAGGAATGACATCCTTCACCGATGGGATTAGATCACGTATGTTGTGTACTGTACTGAATCGGACCTGGATCTTGCGTTTGTTTAAGATCTTGGAAATATTTTTGGTAACGCCTGCTATGTATGGTAACGTGATGGTTTTGATCGGCGTCTCAGGGGGTTGTTTCTCCATGGTTGGAGAAACAGCTTTGCGAATAATGCGGTCCGAGTACCCATTCATCTTGAGGGCCTGGTGTACGTGTTCCAGCAGCCCTTTTGCCCACTTCACCAATTGTTTCTTGCTGTGGTTGTCCCACCTGGTGACGGTCGCTTGTGTTGCGCCCGAAACGTCGTGATTTATTTTATTTTATACCTACCTGAATTTACCGAAAGAGCAGGGGCGGTTTCTTCATTAGGGCGATTGGGCG